GGCAGTAAGACTGATGATCGCAATGCCAGACGTGATCACCTTCGACGCTCCGCATTTATTGAAAGACAAAACTCGCTCTCGCCTTTACCATAGTCGTTAGTCGTTATATACGATACCCTCGGGCCGAAATACATAACAGCCCTTCACAAGCTCTCTGCTGAACATGGGCCTTCCCCAAGCAATGCCACAAAGCACGCACCTGAGCCATCTGCATCCCCAACACTATAATAATGGCCTCGGTACCGAGCTTCGGTTAGTCTCAAAGGAGACAAACCTTCCGCGCAGGACAGCATTATAGTGCTCGCATACTCGAGCAAGCTCAAGTACACTCTCTATTCCCCTAATCTCATAGTCCGATGGAACGGTTATCCGACATTACCGGAGAGAGATCGGGCACATCACTAACAGCTTTGCATGATTTCCGAGGTGCGGGGGAGGGGCACTGCCGTCTTTCTGACTCCGGGCTACTATTGAGAATTTTTGACAGAAAAATCCAATAATTGATTTAAGTCTGACACGGGATTCGAACCCATCAAGGCAATCAAATCCACCACTATGTCTATGATGTCTAACATCAACTATTAAACTAATAATTGTATTTAAAATAACGTACAGTGTCACTAAAAATGGCGTATTGCGTGTCGACAGCGCGCCGTAACGAGTGAACCCGTATTTATTGATAAATAATTATAACAAAAGGTGTTCTACTATTCGTTACTCGTTAACGTTAACCAAATGCCAGCGTTTTCGCTAACGACAGCAAATTACCGGCCCCAGTGACGTGTGTAAACAAAATTATAACAATAAGCGGGGCCATAATGATGAACCAACGAAGTAAGTCATTTTTGATTCTCACACATGGTGTGAACGGAACGCATTAGCGGCCGTGCTTCCTGCCACTCAAAGGACCTTCAAAAATGGATCTGTCAAACTATTTTCGCGTCGATATAGATTGAATTAGGATAATAATTTACTAGAATTTACTTTAATAGAAGTCGAATTTGAATTAGATGAATTTTATTAATTGACTTAATTCTTAATTTATTTAGAGGCTTTTGTATACATATTTCATGCTCATGGAAAAATATTATAGTAAAAACAATATTGCATACCTACAGATTCTACAAAGAATTATATTATACTATGTATATCAATGAATATAGTTTTTACTGATATCGACATTCTTTTGACGTATTATTAATTTACATAGAGCCTTGTTTCCATTGCTTCGTGAATGTTATGTAAATAGTTGTAGTGATTTTAATTATTAGACGGACTGAGAGCAACAATTATTAAATGTTTTCATTATTGTAAGATTGATGTGTTTTATGATTGTACCAATTTTTATAAGAGTGAAATACGCCATTTCTGAAAATCAATTCTTAGAAATTTCTGACACAGAAACATCAAAATATATTTTCGTGATCCTGCCGACTTTGGAATCACGTGCCCGATATTCAAATTAGGGAATAGACCTGAATAACATCATGCAGTTCTGTGTAATTGAAAGTGTCGGCGGCCGAACAGTGTCGGTGTCGACGGTGTCGGCGGTGTCGGACATCTGCTCCAGATACGTTCGCCCCCGCCTGCTCGCCTTCTTTAATGATTATTGGAATTGCCAGTCAGACCGCGCGTGTTCTATTTCCGAGCGTAGCATCTCAGACCCATTTTGCATCGTTACAATTTCCGTACGCGAGGGTAGACGCTTTTTTTGGCGGTTTAGATAACGTCGTATTACTAATAAATAATGTTTCCTTGTATTACGTAAGATCTTATGTAGAAAAGTACTGTTGACCTTTACGAAACATGTTAGGTTCCCTGATACTTTTGGTAATACTAAATGAGATATCAAAATTAAAAGTAAAGGTGTTACCTTAGTTTGTGAGTTATATGTTTGTCTGTATTCAAACGTATGTTAGTAAGAAGCCGTTAAAGCTTTTTTTAACAGACTATAAATCTTTCATCTCAATCTAACCCTAAATAAATTATTGAGTTCTCGTTTTTATTATTTAAAATTTTAATATTATTAAAAAAAGGGAACAAAAATATCTCGATCATTTTCACACACACAAATATAAAATACACATCTAAAATAACGTACTCCCAAGCAATGTAATAATACAAATGAATAATGTATCTAAAGAATAAGACGAAAATTTCAGATTAATATTCAAAGCAGGCACTGGAACGAACGCCACCGGCCGAAGTAAAACTTGATTGATTCCGCGCTCGTTTGAGCCACGACCGGTGCGTTAATTACCGAAAAAACGGTGAATTAATTGCAGCTCATGCATTGTGAAATTGATTGCGAGCAGTAACGATCATTAGGTGTCTCATTACAACAATGCGGATTATTTAATTCAAGATAATGGACTCGGCTTGCGCTTAATTGAACGCCGCTAGATTGGAGAGAGCGCTGAAAGCTAATCTTGAAACTGCTATACTCGCAGATGTATTGAGGAATACAGAACGTACAAATGGTTCGATCGGGGCAAAACCACGCTCTCACAAAATACCAGCGTAAAATAGCAGAGTAATACTGTTGTGTTTTTGATGTGGCGAGTGCAGAGAACCGAAAACACTTTTTACTGAAAACGAGGCATTCCGTCTTAGTCCTCAGGGGTGACAACGCATCTGCATTTTGATTCTTAATTGAGGATAAATTTAGATGTCTATGGGCCACAGCATCCACTTACCATCAGGTGGACTGTGTACTCGTTTGTCACCCTTGATCTACAAAAAGAAACGTATTGCAGAGAAATTGATTTCCAATGAAGTTGTATAAACATTTTTGTACTTGACGCTCTTGTGTTGTTTTTGTTGAAGTTCTTAAGTCGATTCATTGTCATCATTACAGCCTATCAAATGATCATATCTGACTGTAAGCCTCCCCGATATATTGTCTCATATCGCAGATTGGTAACCGTAGTTTTTTTATTATTTTATGTTGTCTACAGCAAGATCCTGCTTCCATCTCGTGTTTCATATCTCTCTTTAGCCTCTTATGACACTGCGGAATGATTTTTTTGGGGAAGTGGATTCTCATTCGTCGCTAAGAGCTGCAAAAACGAATTCGATCAAACAAATTTAAAACGTTTTTGTGTTAGTACTAAAATATTGTTAACAATTTACATAATTATTAACAGAATTTATATAAGTTACATATTTTAACAGCTATAAAGGATATTACCTTACGTAATATTTAAACAGGTTATCTTTTCTTATTGTAAGCTTACTTAACGATTAAATCTAGAAAAGCTACGAGGCAAGTCCGCTGCAAGATCTACGATTGCGTATCTACGAATCACATCTAGAGAACGCCAGGCCTCAAACTGCATTATGCCAGCAACTTAACTAAATGACGGAGTGAATGCACTTTCATATCCTGGATAAAGATTTCCTCAAATGATCCCGATAAAATGAACACGTCAGATTTCCTGATTTCACTTGGCCGATAAAAACGTTTATAATCAACGGCCTTGCAGTTTCCCTTCAAAAATCAGTTAGTCGTTTACGATTTGTTCCCGCAAATCATATCTATCGAGAGGAAAACTTTTAAGTCTAGGAGTCCTTTTGGATACTCACTTATCCATTTACCTCCAAACTGCTAATCAGCTGCAATCGTATGTGCACTGATGTGTTTCGATCTAAAAGGGACTAAGAGCTAGTATAATAACAGGTTGTGAAGCATTCCATTTTAGTCCTTATAAAATGACAACCCATTTGTAGCTTTCTTTGAAGTTGGTTTCAGGTGTCTATGGGTTGCAGGCGCCGATCACATCGATTTTATTAAAAAAATTAAGACTGATAGATACTTTAAATTTTAAAATCCTTTATCGTTTCATCATCATCATTATCATAGCCCTTCAAAAGTTCACTGCTGAACATAGGCCACCTGCATCCATCGACTTCCTGCATGTCTTACCAGATCATCATCTAGGGGGTCGCCCTACACTACCGCTACTGGTACGAGGCTGCCACTCGAGAACCTTTTTCCCCATCGGTTGTAGGTTTTTCGAGCTATATGGCCAGCCCATTGCCACTTCAGCTTACTAATCTGTTAGGCTATGTCGGTCACTCTCGTTCTACTGCGGTTACCACTGCCACATTCCTAAGATTATCATGCAGAGAAACCCCGAGCATAGCCCTCTCCTTAGCTCGCTGAGCGATCTTGAGTTATTATGTTAATATATCGGTGTTTAGCTAATATTAAAAGCACATGAAAAATTTATCCATTTTAACCAAAAATAAAAATCGGCAAGTTTAAATATGCGTATGACAACCCTGCTGCGCCGGCGCAGTAATGGCGATTTGGCGTGTGCTGCAGCTCATTAGGCGCGGACTCCCAACGCCGAGGCTCTAGGATCCGTGTGTGAAATTTAAACTCGCTTCGACTTTCGTCCATTCATAATGTCATACCGCCGTAAACACTCGACCGTTATACGGGCCTGATGATATAGTAAGGAAGTTGTGTAGGAATGTTAACAACACTTATAATAGTGTCGGTGGAATATTTGATAAGCGCTGGCATTCTCTAAAACGTATCAGGATCGGTTTTCGTAGACAAAGTTTCACCAACCGGTATTTGTGTAAGACGCGGACATTTCAATTCAGGAATCATTGGAATTCTGTTTATGGTTGTATTTATTTGGACCGGGGAACTAAAAAAGAACTTAGTTAGGCATTGACGATACATTAAATCTTATTGATTAGTTCAATTTTATCCATCTCATGGAAATTTTCTAAATCAAAGTCATTTATATTCTTATTTTTGAAACGTTTTGTATTCTGCGTCTTTATGACAGAAGTTTACTTACTTACAGTTTTGACTTATTACGCAGTCTGCCAATTTCATAGAACTATAAATGCATCTCCCTGGCTATGTTTAACATCAATCTAACCGTCGTAGGGATCCCAGCACGTGGGTGCTTCATCGGCTTATATTCAACTTTTCAAAATTCACCCCAAACTCCATTTCGACCGTATTTTGTTCTCAACAGAGACCACCGTCATCGTCTCTGTCGTACGGTGGCGCGGTGAACGACGACGTGCGCTCGCCTGGCTCTGGCGGCACGCCCGGACCCCTCAGCCAGCCGCCGCCGCAGACCCTAGACGCCACAGATCCAGGTGAGCTCCTGTTGCTGTCACCAACTCCTATGTACTCAAATACCTAACTATTCTATTACCTGTCAGTGACTTTAGATGAATGGAAGGATTATCTAATATTCCTAGCATATTATTTTGTGTTGTACCGAATAAATATAGTGACGTTTACACATTTAATGTGAACATTCAAAAAACGCCAGTAACCATACATTCCTGCCCTAAAAATTTTCCTTGAAATTATGGCAGCTTAAATTATCAGTTTTCGAATATATATGTTCAAATCCTTAATTAAAATCCTAAGTTTAGATTTAACACGAGCTCAATTTTGAAGGAAAAATTTGTGAGAAATGCATGTCTGATCTATCAGAAATATTTTGAGGCCATTTGAATTCCGCCTCCTATAGAATAGCGATAGTGTGTTGAAGTCTTATCAGCCATGTGCATTGAAATAATACTAGTTTTTACGGAATTTATCGCGTATATTTAATTTTTTAAATACCCGACGTTTCGAACGCTTTACAGCACTCATGGTCACGGGCGGGACTATGCCATGTGCATTAAAACCCTCGCTTATTCTTATTTTATATATTACGCTAATTTCATATTTTATACATATAGTATACATTTGTGATTATAATATAATAATATTAACATTTATTTTAAGTCAAAAAATGTATTAAAGTTCAAATGTTCCTTTAGTTTCTTCATCTCAATTAGTATCACATTAAAAAATAATTTCCACGCAATCTATACTTATAAGAATTAAAATTATTTAAAGCTGCCTTGTTTTTGATCTGCTAGTATCTTAAATGACGTCACTCACACCGACAACCAATGAATGAGAAAGGGGAGGTCTCTTGGCAAAAGATATTCGAGTAATTAACAAGTCAAAGGTCGCGCTGTACGTTGATTACACAAGCGCATGTCAGATAACTCCTACGCAGCGTCCCGCACCCAGCAATTAACATGTCCACACTCCGATCTAGATCCGACGTGACACGTCAACACCCTTCAAGAGCCAATTCAAAACTGACAGCAATACATCGTCGAGTCACAATCCGACTTAACTTTCTTCGGCGACGAGAAAAAATCGAAACACATAACCCGGTTGTCGGGATCACTCGTCGCGTCTCTTGTTACCTTAGGCATCTCGATCGATTGTCATCCGTCTCTCGCACGTAAATGACGGATGGGTGTTTATTGAAAGGACTGTTATGCCCTTACGGTTCCAATGGGAGCCGGGTACAATGCATATTGAAATGAGGCGGACGGCGGTGTGACGCATATCGACGTCGAATCGCGACGATTATCTCTCGCTTACACGGGCCGGGTAATTTGTGTAGGATTACATTGTGTATTATTCAAATTGCTCCCTTGTATACAACCACTAAATGATTCTAAGAAGACTGTTGCAATACCACCCTGGCACTGTACGTATCAACTAATCTGTGCGTCTCTGACAGCTGCTACAAGTGTTTATTAATTATTCGAAGCGTAAATAGTATTATACAGAATTAATGGTTTTCATTTTGGAATAAAAAAGTGCTACAAATATTCGACATACACAGTTTATATAGTTTTTATTCTTACCCCATGACAAGACTTATACTTCGATATTGTGTACACTTTACAGATATGACCATTACGGTAAAGCCGATTAGGACTTATATAAATAATTCAAAATGCACGTACGTCTAGCGGCTAAAATTAAAAACCGAATTTCAGAATTTAACAATTTTATTTTAAAAAAAAGCCCTTGTTGTGAATAAAGGTGTGATTTCACAAAAGACGCAATCACAAGCGCGGCTTTTGACAGCTGTCAAAAATGGGCAGCGCGTTGGCGCGAAAACTAACAAAGCATCAGCGATCGGTGTTGCTATTTTTCCGCATTTCCACGTAGTTTTTCGTGAAAAAATTATGCTTTCGAAACACGTTTGTGTAATTGTTTGGTTTGTCGCACGGTTTTGTTGGGGCCGGGCGTTGCAAAATGAACGAAATTGAATTTTGGCGAGCTACGTTACACCATTTGTATGTACTTATATGTGGCACTTTAATTATTGTGCTACAGCAAGACTGACATATGAAACCATAAAGCATTTTATAAAAGGAGTTTTTGGTTCGCCATAATAGTAATATCAAAACAATATGTACGTATACGTGTACATATTTTACTATATAAATTTACCTATTCAATACATTTTAGTCAAAATCTTCATATACTTATATATTTGCTGATAGGTTAATTTCTCATTCTATTTTTAGACCAAAGCATGACCATCTTTTTTAAAGGATAGAGTGACAAACGAGCACACAGTCTACCTGATAGTAAGAGGTTGCTCTGGCCCATAGACATCTACATCTATCCTCGATTACAAATAAAAATGCAGATGCGTTGTCACCCGTAAGGACTAAGATGGAATGCCTTGTTTCCAGTAAAAACGGTCTCCGGTTCTCTACACTCACTATACGAAACACAACAGCATTAAGTTACTATTTGACGCTGGTATTACGTAAGAGCGTGGTCCCATTCGTGCTACAACTATATACTACTAATATAACTACAGCATGGCTCCACCACGTATGAATAATCTTTAGGCTTACAACCGTTTCGTATAAATGCTACGTTCAAATTATACATAAATTGTTTTTTATGTCAATGTTATTCTCTGAAAATTCCTTAAGTATACGTGTATTTATTCAGAGTGTAAATGACATGTTATTTTTTTATTTCATTTTTTTAACTACAACATCAGGCAACGGCAACTGACCGTACAGATGCGAATTGTAGATAACTTGGAAACGTTTTTTACTTGCCAAGATGTTAAATGGTTTGTAATTATAGTTGCTATTTCATTCAATGCAGATACACTTTTAATAAATCGCGTATCGTTTCTAAAATTCTACTTAATTCGCTTGCTGTGTAATGTAATGTTTTTTGTAAAATAGAATATTTATGAAGAAACGAATAAATATCTAGTTATTCGTCCAAGACTTGATTCCATGGTAGCTTATCTAATTTTATTATATACCTTATAGTGATAAACTTTAAGTTTTATTTTAGTATTGTTAAAATTTGATATAAAAGTAGAAAATAGAGACAACAAAACACACTCGCATTAATTTATGCCCAAAATTAAAAATCCGTCCGAGGCTTCGAGACAAAGCACTCGACTCGGTGCCGCTCCCGAGTGCCATAAAGGGCTAACCCGACGCCGTGAATTATTCAAAATTCAAAATTTCCCTATAATTCAATCAGGTCCCTCCCTTCTCCCCGGGGAGGGGGTCGGCGGCGATTATTTGCGAATTTAATATTAATTAACCGCCGCGCTCACCGGCGTAATTGCGTTTTTCAATTATAACTGACAATTATGCGATGAAATTCGGATGAGACGAGATGATGCCGCTAATTGTTGATCGCGCTACCGACGACATTTAATATTCAGGAAGCCTTGTGCAATCTCTCTTATTATTATTGTTGACGCCAAATCTGCCGAGCCTCGTGCGTTGTGCAATTAGCACTACTGTGACAGGGTAATTAAAATTTTCATAGGAATTAAAATGCATTTAAAAAAATCGCTATAAAACTGGCAAATAATTTTTCTTAACATAAAATTATCTTTATATTATTGTCTTTAGGTAATATAATGGATTTGACAACAATTCGACTTCTGCTAAGTCATCTGTTGGCTACGGATACCCTCATTCAAACTATCACATTTTTTTTTAAATTAAAAATGATAATGCAGAAACAGTTTTTAGTTGTACGGAGGACTAAGAAGACTCGTTATCAATAAAAAGTGCACTTCTCTATACGGACCACAGCAGCTAATGCTAAGATATTATACACTGGTGTTATTATGATAGAGTGTTCGTAATCCGGTCAAGACTAACGATTCGTATTGCAGCTTGGCTCCACCACACAACAATTCATACGAGATATTACCGATTCAATAAGCACGAAAACCAGAAAAATAAATTCTCGAGGCATTTCAAATCAGTCTAACGTATCTTTCAACGGCTTTGTTAGTTTGCTTGTTTGTGCTGATATCTTGGCTGCGGTAACTCCTTACCATCAGATGTAATACTATAACTTTTATCGATGTAATGTTATTTTAAAAATCATCCATCAACAATCAACCCCATCACAAGCCCACTGCTAAAGTTAGGTCTCTAATTTACACGCAAAATAATATTTGCATTAAAACCTAAACTTCTACATCTACATTAAAAAGTCATTAGTTAGAAACTCGACTCTCGTATAATTCGTAGATCGAGATGTAAAGATTATTATATTTCACCCCCAGCGCATCCGCGGGGGGTTCGCGAGTGGTGCCTAAATAAAATTATCGCCCCCGAGCCTGTACGTATCCATTTTCGTCATATTCCCCCTCGAACTGGCCTCAGTCTCGTTGCTCATTCCGCTCACGTTTCCTCTGACCGCTGGCTCTTCACAAGTGTGCCTTGAATTCTGTTAAGCGGTTTAGCTCGGCTCATCCGGGTCGCTCGCATGTCTCACGCATTACAGCAAATCAAATCCTATGTTCTCCTGCGGTTGGATATATTATACGAAGATCGCCGGAATACAGATATTTAAAGCCATTACCTTATATTTTTATTTAAAATATTTCGTAATATATGTGTATTCACATACTGTTTGATTCAAGTTGTCTATTGGCAATTAAGACGATACATCGAAAATGAACGTTTAAAATGGCTCCGGGCTATCGCCGTACTGATCCGAGTAAATACATAATTTCTATAAAAACTTTAACAACGCTGCATAAGGCCTAAAATTGCGTAGCGCCCGCGACCATTAAGACCGCTTCGAAATTGTCAGAATCTTAAAATATTTAAGAAAAAGTTATTGATTTAAGTAATCAAAATAACTACTTACTTACTTACTTATCTTCACGCACAATCCCTAACGGGGTAGCCAGAGAGAACAGATCGCCAAGTGTCACGATCCTTACATACCTCTTTCGCTTCCTTCAGGTTCATTAACTTCTTCATACATGCACGTCTAGGTATCCGAGTACTCTTGACCCTCCCCTCTTCGAGCAATTTGCTC